ATGCGCTAAAGTTACTCACCGTAGCTTAGGGCGAAAACCTTTCACTTGCTTTAAGCTTTGTCATTGGGAATGTATTTGGCAACTTTCTGTTTTTATGGCTTAATTCCCGGAGCTCTTGTTAATAACCCATTTTTCAATAACTCTAGCATTTTAATGTATCTAGGGATATGCAATAAAAATCCTAGAAAAGTCCGCCTCTTGCATGATATCAAAATCAACCTAAAAAGGTCATTTTTAATTATGACGTATGTGAAGTGCTCCTGATTTGTAACATTTTGTAATTGTAACTAGTTTTAGAGACTTAAGTGGGAAAGCATGCATATCTATACTTGACGATATAATGGGCTCCAGTGTTTCTCAACCGTATGTGGTGCAGGGACCGGCGAAGGATAAGTGTGTATGTTTGAGGACCGGGGGGTCGGAAAAAAGAAGAGGGGGGTCGGAAAAAAGAAGAGGGGGGTCCACCCCCGGAAAATTTTTTACAAGCTGGGAGACACGGTTTTCGCGTTCCCAATTTGTACAAAAGTCATTTTTCGTGGGTGGAAATGCGTTTATGAATAACACCATTTACAAAGGTACCCCAATTACATATGAATTGGCCTACGTAAATGGTCTTATTTATAAAGCGCATCTTCTAGCGGATAATTTGTACTTTGTGCAATGAGTCCCACGTCAACTTATTTGACCGCGATGTGTGGATTTTTCGCGGACCGGCAAAGATTCTTTGCGGACCGGTAGCGGTCCGCGGACCGGCGGTTGAGAAACACTGGGCTAAACTATTCCATAATATATGATGTATTTTTTTAATATTTGCTCGAAAGGGAAAAATAAAAGCAAAAAAATGCTTTCGTTCTAACGCGTGTAACTTTAGCGCATTATCCATGCTTTGATCAGTATTTTTAAAAGGCCATAGCTATGTGAACTATGCTTTTTTTACTAGAAGCATCTATGGTTAAAATTTTATAGAAATGTCTCAGTAAATAAATTGCGCAATTTTCGCATGCGCACATCTGACCTTAACTATATGCGACGTTTGTCTTTACTAGAAGCATCTGTGATAAACATTTAAAAAATAAGGTATATAGGGTGTTGCATTTAAAAAATACCAACATTTGGTGCAATCTCAAAAACGGTGGTAAAAATATCTAAAAGAATAACAGTGTTTACAACCTCCTAAAAAATCAAACTTTTCGTTTTCACCCTGTATTCCAGGAAACAAATGATTGAGTCTGTTTGTGGTATAAGTTTCACAAAAAAAGTGGCACAGCCTGGGCACAGGGTCGCGAAAACGGCACGTCTCTGCTGAGATACGCCACAGTCTCAACCAAAATAAGACAAACGGTCACTAAAAAGTGAATAATAATAAATTAAACATAGCATGTGCAAAACTAAATTTTAAACTGATGTTAGTTTTGCTTTTATTTAGAGTGTATATGCATGAAATTTCATTTAATTGCTTCCATAAATAAGAAAGTTGGCTCTGCACATCCTACACAAAACCAAATTTGAAAAATGGCGCTACATTTTTTGCTTTTATACCAAGTGGCTATGTATCAAATTTCATTTGAATGCCTCCATAAATAAGAAAGTTGGCACTGCGCATGCGCAAATCCAAATTTTGAAACTGGTGTTAAATTTTATTCTAAGTGGCTATACAGTGTGTCCCTGGATGGACTGAACAAGAGGGAAACAATTTTTAATTTTAACTTTACGCAAAAATGTCATTCTTTATAAAAATTTTTGCTTGCTTCAAAACCACCTATTCTGAAATAAAAATCTAGATATTCCTTTTAGCAGCTGAGAAAATTACAAAAAACGCAAAATCTACATCGGAAATTTTTCTAAGTTGCATGTTTTTGATTAAATCAATCATTGTATCTTCCGTGGCAACCTGATAAGCAAATCAAGTTAAAAAAGACACCTTAGAGCTTAAGAAAAAGAATTTTTGGATAAAGTTAAAATTAAAAATTGTTTCCCTCTTGTTCAGTCCATCCGGGGACACACTGTATATCAAATTTCATTTAAATACCTTCATAAATAAGAAAGTTTGCAATTTTGGTCTGTAAATGGCCGAGATGCACAAAGGGCACTGTGAATGTTGAACGATCAGACTCAACTTTTGTTTTGTATAGCTAAAGCTATGCGCATATTGAATTTTATGCAATTCGGTTCATAACTAACGGAGATGCGAAAAGGGCCTACTTTATTTTTTTGGTCTACATTGCCAATTCACGAACTCCGATCTACAAATTTTATAAAAAATCCACCTGCAAAATGTCATCGTAGTCGGTCCATTCGTTTATGAGTTATCGTGCTAACGGACGGACGGACGGACAGACACCGCAAAATTATAAACTCGCTAGGTGCTCATTAATAAACTCTTAAAACGGATCTAAAAAAGCGGCAAAGCACCTCTTGGTGTGACCTTACGGCGTAATTGGATTTGACCCATTTTCAATGCTTGTTACATGTGATATATAGGTCAACTGTTCAAAGTTTGAACCGGATCGGCCCAAGAGTTGGCAGTTCTTTTGTTTACGGACAGACGAATTCGCCCTATAAAACTTGCATCTCTTTGCTGCACCGCTCAATAACGAGGTCCTAAGGGTCCCTGGTCCAAATCCGGGTTCGGGCATGGATATTTGTAAATATATAGTGGGTTAGGGTTGGTAGAAAAGTCTTGGCTGAAACCACGGCCACTCAAAAATAAAGGCAAATAAAAAAAAAGTCGTATAAAACTGAAGATTTTTTAGTATCCTCTTCTTAAAAAAAGTCATCCCGGAAACATGTCAAACATAAGCCTATCAGTAAACCGGGTGATCCAAAATAACTAAAATCAGTTTGAACTTTGAAATTGGCACTTAACATTTGTAGTGTTTGGCATTGATCAACATTGTTTTCCCCAACCGTAACCACGATCCATTAGCGGTGATTTTTTACGTGTAATCACTAGGCCAGGCATCAGTATTTTCAAAAAGGGTCCAGGGTTGTAAAATTAAAAGGCTTGAGATCGTCCACAGCGGTTTATTCATTTAGGGTATATTAGCTTCTGTACCTCTTTACACCTTACCATAGGGTTGAGCACCACCCAGCTTCTGTAAATACGTTACTCTCCCTCTATAAAACTGGAAAGATGTAAGAGAAATAACAGTAAAATTAAATTAACGAAAAAACTACTGGTTTTATTACACTTAAAATCCATTGAAATTGTCTCCCAAATTGAATAACGTTGATACATAAAATATTCTCTTATAATATGAATTTATTATATAACCCTGTAGGGCAAAATAGTTAAGTAGTAAATAGTAAAGTAAAGTAAGTAAATAGTTAATCCGTTAAGACGTTAAAGGTTTACGGAAGTTGTTCCCGATGATTGTCCATCCTCGGTGTGAGTAACTTTTCGTGACTCAGTGCCCTATTTCTCATAATGGGTTGGCACCAAAATGACCGCTCGCTGTCGGTAGATGTTGAGGTAAGCCAAGGGCTTCGGTAGTCGCAGGTTCTGAGGTGAAAACTGTACATAACGAAAACTTGGCTGGTTCTCTCACACAAAACTTGTTTTTCGGTATATAATTGGTTTGCAAGTGTATGGAGCGTGAACCCTCTTAAATAAGAGGGGTTCTCAAAGATGAAGCAACGATTGTCGATGGAAATTACAGCCGAAACATCAAAAGTTTACGCACATGGGAGCACAGGCGAATCCCGCCCAAACACTGCGGAATTCCTAAATTCGCCAGAGATCGATATATTTGGAACATGGCAATTAGAATCCCATGCATTCTACCTTACGCTTTCATTTTTTTTCGACGTGTATTTCGATGCTGCTTACAAAGAAAATAAGATGAATGAACGTTAAAGCTCTAATACCTGCACAGAACAGTTGCAAATTGCGTCGGTAGGTAGTGCCTCCTATACGACCGTTTTAGATGTTACGGGGGTTCTCCGACAAGTAATAATACCGTGAACAATAATAAGGTACGTAACGGAGATAATAAATCGTTACAGGGTATAGTGCTAACAAACCACTAAATGACGAAGCGCAAATAAGAAATTAAGCTCTGATCGCAAACTGAACTGTAGAGTTCCCTATGGTTTCATACTTGGGCGTCCTTTGTTCTCTGCTTTTCCAGACCTTTAAATCTATAAAGGAACGATCATTCTTACGCGAATATTAATGCTTATGTAATCAATTTGCTACAGGTAATTCATTACATATAGTTTAGAGAAATGCAAACTCATCGGCAACGGATAATATCTAGATTAAATGTTCAGATTAACAAGTCAGCCTTTGTCATTTCTTAGTCATGCCAAACATTTTGATTTAATTAATTTTAAAATATGACGTTATGTTTTTAAACGTGCTATAGAAAGTGGCAGTTTCTTCGTGCTTCTGTGTTCTGATGCGCTACCTACATATAATTTAAAAATTGGTGTTTGTCGACTCGTCCTAAAACATTCACGTTCTAAGCAATAAATGAATGGTATTATGTCAAGTGTATTTTTCACGATCTTGTCTAATTAACTAATGCTTTATAACTTAATGGTTTAGTGGAGGAACAGATACGGATTGTATGAATGTTTGAATTATTTTTATTTGCTTTAAAGATGTAATTTATTATTATAACTATCTTTAAGTACATATTTTACAGCTCTTTCCATTTCCAATAGAATTATTAACCACAAACGAATTACCACTTATTGATTGAACGAGATTAGTGGAACAGAAGACTCATCCACATTGTGTTAGTTACATTGTTGTATAAGATTTCTTCCTTGTTGTTAACATTCCTGTAATTATAAACGCCATATAACGCGTTCCGCCATGCGTGCGCGGTGTGCATCCTATTGATGAAGCTATGTTAAAATTCTGGGTAATTATTCGCGTCTTAATTACAGTACTCTAATATTGATAACGGAAAAATGTTTATGCAACTATCGGTCCGGCGCAAATGATAGGTCGTGATTCATTCTCCGTTTTATTAATTATTGTTCGCTATATCGGATCGTAGGCCAGTACGAGCACGTTCCGCTTCCAAATTTGGTACCACGCAAAGACTCCACGCACTATTACGGGTCATTATTGGAATACGTATTGACAATTAGCTTGAAAATCAATTTTACTTTTTACCACACATAACCAACAAACCGTTACCGATACTGCTAAATATTGTTTAAAAAAGTCACCATGACCCGTATGCTCTATTTCATTTAAAACTACGCCGCCGCCGGCGAGGAAGGGTAAATATGAATATATTTGCTTGATGTATTCTGACGACATTTTGACAAGTTGCGGTTGAGAAGAGGGTGTTGGGTAACGAGAGCATCAGGCCAGTGTATTTATAATGCGAAATATTTAAATTTCAAGTCGGGAGTAAGTAAGTAGATGAAATCATAGTCCATAGAAAATCTGTACTGAAGAGCATAAGAAAATTACTTAAATACCTAAACGTAGCACATCTTGTGTGACGTCGTGTATAAGTATTTATCTCGACCGGTGAATATCCACGCTTCGTAGTGCACGGACCTTTATATAAAACCATTACACTGATACAATTTGAGGTTTTAGAGATTATTGCGCAACAAGATCGCGGTATGAACGCTGCAAAGATGCTGCAGTGTACACTAGTGTTTTTGTCAGTTGCAACACTATTAGGAAGTGCACAGGAACCCATCGCTTTTAAACGGATACGCGAGTGTTTGTTAAAGCCTCAAGTCGTCGTGTGTTTGAAAGAGGAAGCCGTCGATATTTTAAACAGAACCATCATGAACGAAAAACCGATGCGTTTCTTTGACATGATAGACATCGAGAAGGATCCTAACTACAAGTGCAATACATCAGTAAATGATTTACCTGAAGACCTCAATGAAAGGAGCGCGAAACTCAATGATATTCTCTACCACCAAGTGGAGGATCTCTTTGAGTCGAGAACCGTTAGATTTAGCTTGGCAAATGTCATAGAAGGTGAGTTGAACTCTTCTCATTAAATTAATAACATTTGTACCCCCAGGCAGGAAAAAGAAGGACAAGACCGGAAGTATGCTAATGATGGGCGGATTGGCAATGGCAGGGATGATGGGCCAAATGTTTATGGGTAAAATTGCTTTTTTGGCTGGAGCCGCATTGCTTATTGCAAAAATGGCACTAATGATGTCGGTTATGAGTGCGCTTAGAAAGACTGGTGGAGGTGGTGGTGGAGGAGCTGAACACATTGTATACGCCACAAGCTCCGATTCCGGTGGGTACGGTCACAGTCATGGGGGATGGCATCGCAGCTTGACTAATCCAGATCCAACGTTGGTGTATGCCGGACAAATGCCAACTGACTCTAATTACGTTTTCTAGCTTCCTTCTGCTTCCTTAGTTAGGTATTTATCATCTGGCAATTATTACCTGCGCTTTAATTTACTAGAATTAAGGATTTTACTTATAATGAATGAGACTCTTTTTCAGTTAAATTATTATATAAGCATCGTACCAGTTGTAGTTTTTTTCAACTGTCGGATGCATCAACAAGTTTATGACCAACAATAAACAAGCCATAACGTTATGGATATTGCTGTAATAAATTTTATTGTAAACATTTGTAAAAGACTAATTTTAATTATTACATTATAGAATTCCGTTAGAATGTCAAAACTGTTTCGCATTCTGTGCGGAATAAAGTCATTTAGGTTCAAAACTAACCGAAAAATTTGTTTGGTATGTTATAATGTCCTAATTATCTTAGGTTATGGACAGTTTTCTAGGACACGTTAAAGATACACAATGTCCATTCTGAAATATTAAATGAATGGTACAGGTGCAGAAATCGAATCGTGTATTACCTATGTAACAGGAGTAATTAAATAACGTAACAAGTTCTTGGCAATTTATGAAAATTTACATTGCGTGCAGTGTTTATTTAAATGAATAGATGCAATTACGAGTACACTGTAATTTTCTGATGAAGTTATCATTTGATTTGTGCATTTAATTAACATAGAACCGGCTGATGAAGTAAGTGAATATATTTTCAATTTACCATTTAGGGATCTTGCATACCTATGACGTAAAAATCGTTACCAAACATAAGAATGCATTCCAAATGTACCCAATTTTCAAAATTAGATACCCTTAAAGCTTTACGACGTTTAGGTTGTAGTTTCTTCAGGGTTAAAATCTAAAAAAGTTTTAAGACGAATTGATGCAATAAAAAAATTTGAAAAACGTATACCTATAGCAATACTTATATTTTCCAGCTGGAATATTTGCTTATTAACTTTCCCCAAAATACGCAAAAATAGTAGGGAATATTCTACGTATCAGAATCAGAATGATCGATCATATTGTAATAAAACCGGTATAATAAACGTTCAAAATAGATTCATTTACGGTGTTTCGTAGATGAATCCTATCGATTTTGAGCCCTCTTTGAAAACCTCCCTTTTTTGGGGAAAACTTTACTAAATCAACTTTCTTATTACTGGTGCTCTGGTGGGATCTTTTTGAAAAGTTAATGCCACCTCTTTCTAATCAAAGCAAACTAATCGCTTATGTCAAGCATGTAGGGGCGGGAGGGGGCAGAATTTCAGATGTGATTATCTCGAAAAAGGAGTGTTAGAAGAGGGTACTCACAAGGAGAGAATTGTACATGTAAATGCGAATAACTCAGAAAGGGAATGTCGGAAGAAGGTACCCACAAAGAGAAAATGATATGTGTAGATGAGACGCATCCATTGGTGTGGTTAAAACTGTAAATGCGAATTCTCGAAATCGGAATGTTAGAAGAGGGTATCTACGAATGATAGCTGCCGACGAAGCGATGCGTCGGTAGTACGGAAAAAGTATGTTTAGGCAATAAAACAGCCGATTTAACGTCTACTTCATAATAGTATATTAAGTATTAAGGTCAGTAGGTGTACTTTACTGGTTGAGGATAATAATTGCAAACCGAGAGCGCAGCTCGAGGTTTGCAATATTATCCGAAATCGGTTAAGCACCTACTGACCGTGGTGCTTACGCTATTTTTTGCACGATCAATTTATAATTGATATAAACTAAATTCGAATGTATCAATGTGGTAGCATCACAATGGGTTCAGTAATTTTTTGTGGGTTGCTACCAGTTACGTTTCTGTTTTTGAAAACAAAACAACACGTGCGCGAAACGTGGTTTGGTTGAGACTAAGTGAACATACCTAAATGATTCAGAAGATTTCGAAATAGAAGATGCATGGAGTATTGGCTGCGCATCGATCTCTCCCGAAAAATTTAAAAGTAGATATGAAGCCGCATATGATTCTTTCCTTAAATGGTGTGAAAGTAAATGTCAAACTGACATAAGTGAAAAAATTGTGTTAGCATATTTTGTTCAACGTAGTGAAGGATTGAAATGGCTTATGGTGTGATTATTCCATGTTGAAAATATGATTTTTCTAAGAAGGTGTGTTGATATTTCTAAATACAGTACGCTGATAGCATTTTTGAAAAGAAAGAACGTTGGGTATCAGCCAAAAAAATCTAGCGTTTTTTCTAAAGCAGATTTCCATAAATTTCTTACGGAAGCACCCGATGACACGTACTTGGTGAGTCATTAACTAACAAGATTGAAACCGCTCAGAAGATTTTATGTGGAACTCCAGGGAACCCTTCATCATCTTCGTTGCCATCAACAGAACCTGCTATTTCATACCGTACTAATTCAAATCCTCTATCGACTGCTGAGTGTGAAGAATCTGTAAACACCGTGTTTTCCAATTGTCTGTCTAATTCCCGAACTAATTTTTGTAACTTGCAAATTGTACATTTAACTTCTACATTAATAAACAATAATTTGATTTTTGACACATATCCTACTTGTCGCATGTTACTGTAACTGTCACTTGGTTGCTAAGCACGTTGCTATGATACACTTACCGCCCTAGGTTGGTAAGTGCACCTTACCGCCTTGAAAATGAATTAGTAAGTAGCCGACTATAACCGATCGTGCAAAAACGTATGTAATACCACTTTAAATGACCACGCTAGAATATCTAGACACTATAAAACTGTTTGTTTTGCAAATTCTTTTACATTCACGTATGAATTTGGACTGTGTGATAGTTAAGGTAATTGCTTGTTCCAGAAACGTTTACCACCACGAAAATATTGATACATATTTTTTAGCCGTACAGGTTGGAAACAAAAACATGGTTTTGCTGATTTGCAAGAAAAAATGTGGTAAGTATTTGGTAAGTTGACAATAATAATAAGATTCGATTTCTGATATTCACTTTCATTAAGACTTTAATATAGTGACAACTATTTATTTAGTAGGCATCGAGGTAGTGATACATACCACCAAGCTTTAGCTTTACAGTCCTTCAATATAGTCGCCAGCATTGTGTATACTGTACAACCCGTTTCCAACGATGTGGAAGTCGTAAAACACCTTTAGCAGCGTCTGTTCTGTTGATAGTTGGAATAATGGAGCGGTCAACTCCCACAAGAACTGTTCTGAGGCGAATGCCACGAAGTGGGCCCTTATCATAGGAATTAAGTCAAAGTCACAAGGGCTTAAGTCAGGGGACTACGGTGGATGGTACAGTACTTCCCAGCCCCCTCGATGGAACAAATCAGCCAGAGCTTGAGCTGCATGTGGCCGAGCATTGTTATTCAAAATGATAAGGGCGTAATTCAGAAAATTTTGACGTTCTTCGTTGAAGACTTTTATTCACCTTGCTACTGCAATGCAGATTCCCCGCCAGCTTCCTTCTTGAAGACCTTGATAACACTGTCATGCTGTATGACCTCTGTCACATTCAATCTTTATCCAACTCCATTATTCTTGTTTTGAAAGCATCGTGACCGCAAGGTAATACAAGGTTCAGTTCTTCGCCTTACTCCGATTGCGCCCGACATTGGAAGGGCGAATCTATTTGCTCAGAGGTAAGGTAGGTATGTAACTAATCTGTGGACAACGCGACATTCTTTGGTTTCGTTGCGTGGCGTCTTTACAATCACTATTTCAGTTCCAACCCTCGTATTTTTAAATTTGAACATTAAGATTTTCAGTCGAGCCGAGGCACTATCTCCTACGCCACTCCGGTTTGAGTCATGGCTTTCACCTTGGGATTTCTGCTGGTGACGTCACACCTTGAACTTTGATCCAAAGTCATGACCGTGAGTGTTGGTCATTGTCTCAACTTTTGGACCATATGGTACAAGGTCGTGCCCTGAGACTTCACAGACGGAAAAGTCAGCTTTGATAAAAAGTATTTCCCGATTGGGTAGCTAAGGTCACTCTGTAATTGGGCGCAAGTCTGTTGAGGGCCCAGAACAAATGGGACAATAAATAAGCGTTAGAAGAGAGATGGTGAAACTGATTAAACTGTTAATAACTAACTGGGATTAGAAACCTGTTTCGCATTCGAAAACAAGTTAACCTTGGAAAATCAAATGCTATTGTTTTATGGTACAAGGGCGTGGGAAATACGAGTATCTGGAGCTCGAACAAAAAAAAGGTCACCCTTTAATTACGGTATTAAAAACACGGCCTTGTGCCATAAAGGTCACCACCAAGGCCATCACGACCTTGGTCCAAAATCAAAACCATGCTCTTCGACCAAAACCCAAGGCCATGACTATATATTAATCTCAAAGACCATGATCTTCAGGGCTCAACGAGGGAAAGGATAAGGCCATGACCTCGGCCATAACCTTGGGTCAGTTAAACCACGACCCAAACGGTGGAACAAGGTGTCCTGGAGGAGACGCGGAGGAGGGGGGGGGGCTAATTCTCTTAATTTGTTTAAAAATACAACGAATTTAACAGTATAAACGTAAGGATACTCTTTCTACCAAAGTATTTGATAAACCGTGGGAAATGTTATTCCGGAAACGGCCTATTTTGGTTTTGATCCGTAACCATCTTCATGGTTGTTGAGGGTGTCAACAGTTTAAAAGAGGCATAACGGCTAGACAACATTTTTTTAAATTTTTTTCGCATACACTGGCCAAAATGGCTTAAAAAAACTTTACAAAAAAGTTCATTACAATTTTTTCGTGAGTTCCTTTGTTTTTGAGAAGTTTTGAATTGAAAAGTTAAACTATATATTTTATTTTTCTAAATTTGCATTTTTCTCTAAAAGTAAGCATCCTCGTTAGCATCCCAGTGAAAAATGTTAATAACAAAAAAGATGTGTCTTGATGAAATCTACAAAAGAAGCGAAAGCATAATAAAATGATTTTATTTTTGCGTACAAAGTCGAACAAGAAAAGGTTTTAGTATTTCCTCTATGGTATGGGTAACGTGACCATCAAGAAGGAGTAGAACTGGATCTTCCTTTGATGGCTTCACAGTTCACATACTTAATACAACGTTCCACCCATTCCACAAAAGGGGTAGACTGCATCCAGCCACATGGATTTCAGTGGGTGCACCGTCCAGCAATTTTGCCCTCATCCTAACACGAGGAAAAATTAGGAACGTAATCACCTGCAGAGGAGAATCATAATGCTGCAGTTATTAATTGGCCACGTTCTCCTGACGTTCCCATTTGTCTAAGGTTTCTCATAGGAAAATGACCTTCGAATGACTCTTGGGAACGTGATTTATCGGACCATTGGACCAAACTGATACTTGCCACTTGAATTAATTAAAAGACGAAAAAACTTCCAACTGCCACTTGATTGGAGAATGGAGCCCATTGCTCGAGCTACTGGTCTAGGCCCTGTGGATCTTAACCACAAATCTAGGTGCTGTTTGAGTTGTAGCTGGTCTCTTTAGACCAACTGAAATGCGACATGTCCCAATTATTCAGTAGTTGTAAGAGCAAATAAGCGGCTCTCTTCTTGGAAATCTATGTAACGGTATAAAAAATATATTATTTGATGCAAAATACTCTCCCCTACACACCTGTTCAAGATTGAATTTACTCCTAGATGCAGCATTTACCAAGAGTTGATTGAGGAACATTGTAACTTAAGTAT